TAGTCCCTTTTTAATTTCTCACTGAAGTTTGGGATGTTTGTGTGGGGTATCCGGTAAATGGCACCGATTGTTATAGGGTCTTAATGTTTTTTACAGTAAAATTAGCAAAAATGTATTCTCCCTATTCATAAATAAAGCAATTGGTGCTGATACAAGATAATTGGTTAGAGTAATAGATTGCAATACCACCCCCAACTTGGTATGGTCTGCAGTTGTGGATTGCTGTGTAATTTCCCGGTAGAGGGTAGATAAACTATTGTGTCCTGTTTAAGCCAGGTCTCAGTAAGAATAATGCAGGGAGAAGGGTGTCTTTAGTGATTCAAGGAGTGCCAGGAGGTCATCATAGTGTTTGCTTATGGACCTGATTTGTAGTTAAGTACTGATAGGGCTTTTATCATTGTTTAGGATAGGCTGGCTTGTGATGCTGTGTAGTAAAGGCAGTTACTTTCCAATAGGTTTTGATTGTGTGTCAGATTATGTAGGTTTAGATCAGGGTCAACGTGATCAATCATCTTCTAGGTTTAAATTATGGTTATTTATATCCTGAGTTGTGTGTTGAGTTTTAGTACTGATATTTTGTAGTGGTGGGAAATTTGGACAAGTAATAGCTATAGCATTTTGGTCATGTAGAGTATAGTCACTAATACACATTTAAAGAAGTTGGTGTTGTCTATGTGTTGTGCTGGAATGAGCTAAAGTACAATAGGTATAAACTAATAATATAAAAATACAAATTAAAAAATAGCACAAGACTCTTTACTTGTAATTGCACTAAGGTCTAATGTAATGACTTTGGTATAAATCCCATGTATTGAGCTAGAGTGAGCAATAGTACAAACTAGGTTTAATCTAATAATATAAAAAAAACAAATTAAAAATAGCACCAGGCTCTCACTAGTAATTACACTATGGTCTAATATAATGACTTTGGTACTGACTATGTATTGAGCTAGAATGAGCTATAGTACAACTGAGTTTAATCTAATGATATAAAAAAGGCACAAGACTCTCGTTGTAATTGCACTAAGGTGTTATATAAGTTGTTTACAAGAATTAGAGTTATAACTAGATTTAAATAGACAAGATAAAATATACAAGTTAAGGTAAACAAAAGAAAAAAAAAAAAAATAGAAAAAAAAAAAATATGAGGTAGTGGTTACTAGTTAGCAAAAGATAGTTAAGGGCCTTGAACAATAATATAATTGAAATATACACTAATTGCACACACAATATAGTCACTAAGATATGAAAAACAATCTTAGAGTAGGACTTATAATATAACTTATAATATAAAAATACAAATTGAAATGGTACTTGCAATTGCACTAGAGTCTGGTATATGTTGTTGACAAGATCAAGAGTATAGTAGATTTAAATTGACAAAAAAGAAATTCACAATTAAAGTACCAAAAGAATAATAGTAAAAAATAACGATGGTAATGTCTTGGTTTTTAATATGACAGTAAGATGGTAGACAGGTACACAGGTACAAAGGATAATATAAAGGTTGGAGTTGAATATACAAACTTGAAAATTTGGCAACAAAAAAAGTTTTGGGAAGTATAAAAAAAATGTTTAATGTACAAAAGTAAAATTGACTGGTAGTGTAAATGGTGTTTAATAAAATTTTAGGTAATAATGATTACAAAAAAAGTGAAAAAAGTAATGTTTATTTCATTCAATATTGCACTGGTAGTTATACTTGAGGTTATTTGGCAGTACAAGGTAATTAAGAGTACTCTAAGATAGTAAATGTGGTATTAAAACAGATAAAGGTAATTAGACAAGTAATGGTTATTAAATGTCAAAAATGTTAAGAGTAAATTGAAATTATAGTAAAAATGGTAATTATTAATTTTAGTAAGTACAGGTCTCCCTCAACATTCACGTTTTCAGCTTTCGTGGGCTTCACACATTCGCGAATTCCCAACCGCTAAATTCCCAGCCACCAAATTCCCAGCCGCCAAATCATATTCAAGTTTCCCGCCACCTGCGAGTCCCTACTACCCTCCCTCCGAGCCCCGCAACTGGCAGCCAGCCCTCCCACCACTCAGTGTGGTGAGTGTTTTGTTTGTTCATTATTTGCTATTAAACTACAGTATAAATAATGTAAACACATTCATGACTGCATATTGGAATGGCTATTTGAACAGGTATTGGACGGTGACATCATGTGTTTACTCTTGAACACAGCAAAGAATCAAACATTTCTGCTACCGCTAATAATAACAATAGTAATAAATAAATAATAATAATAATAATAATAATACGATATAATTGAAGAAGGAAATTGTACAAAAATACGAGGGAGTGGTTGACAATCGTCAGTGTGGCTTTGTTTATGCTGGAGTGAAAAATTAGTCTCCCTGCTCATTCCAAACATTTCACAATAATTCATTGTTTGGTGCTTGTAGATTGAGTGCGACTGGAGTGGTTGAGGCAGTGATAGAGGCAGTGATACAGGCAGTGATTAGATGGCAGTGGTAGAGGCAGTGGTAGAGGCAGTGGTAGAGGCAGTGGTAGAGGCAGTGGTAGAGGCAGTGATAGAGGCAGTGGTAGAGGCAGTGTAGAGCAGTGGTAGAAGGCAGTGTACAGGCAGTGTAGAGGCAGTGGTGAGGAAGTGGTAGAGGCAGTGATACAGGCGTGATAGAGGCAGTGGTAGAGGCAGCGATAGAGGCAGTGATATTTACTAAATATATGTTATAAATAATAATAGTACATATGAATAACATTTATTATTATATTATTATAAATGTTATTAATATTAACATGTACTATTGTTATTTATAAACATACGTATATGATTAGTAATACCACTGCCTCTTATCAATGCCTCTATCACTGTCTGTATCACTGCCTCTACCACTGCCTCAACCGTTTAATTATTGTGAAATGTTTGGAAGAGCAGGGAGACTAATGTCACTCCAACATAAACAAAGCCACATGACGATGTGTCAACCACTCCTCGTATTTTTGTACAATTTCCTTTTCAATTATATAGTTATTATATTTTATTATTATTATATATTGTTATTATTATTTATTATTATTTATTATTAGCAGTAGCAGAAATGTTTGATTCTTTGCTGTGTTCAAGAGTAAACACATGATGTCACTGTCCAATACCTGTCCAAATAGCCATTCCAATATGCAGTCATGAATGTGTTTACAATATTTGTACTGTAGTTTAATAGCAAATAATGAACAAACAAAACACTCACCACACTGAGTGGTGGGAGGGCTGGCTGCCAGTTGCGGGGGTCGGAGGGAGGGTAGTAGGGACTTGCATTGGTTGAGGAAGTGGTGGAGGCAGTGGTGGAGTCTGTGGTATTTAATAACATACATGTTACTAAAGCATAACATGTATATATTTAGTACAACTTATGACGTTTTCATGTATTTTATGATTGTTCATGGTTCAACAAGTTAAGCAGTATTGTATTATATTTCCCTACAATATATTGGGGCACCAAACATTCACGGTTTTTCAACATTCGCGAGGCTCTTGATCCCGTAACCCTCGCGAATGTTGAGGGACACCTGTAATATCAATTGATAGTATTTAAAAAAATATGAGGTAGTAATATGGACAGAGAAAGTATCAATTCAGCTAATGTTTAAGCAAACAATAGTAAATAAGAAAGTTACATAAGGTGACTTATGCTTGCTAGTAAAATCACAAAATGAGGTAGTTGATTATTTAATTACTAAGAGATTGTACAATGAAATTTGAACAATAATGGAGCAAAACATACACTACATTACGTAGGCTTTTAGGTTGGATATTGTTTAGTTATTCCCTGTAAGATTAGTATCCCTGAGAAATCGTGATAGATCATTCTCGTTCGTGATTGTGTACAGTTGACCTACATTTGTTTTCCTAACTAGAATTTTCCCATCCCGTGTGAAGCATTGGTGTATTGTCATTATTCTCCCGCTTAAGTTTTCTGACTCTATACAGGAGGTTCTGACATTTTTTGGTAAGACACTTGTTTATGTATACCTCTTTCTTTACTTTAATAGATACAATAATTAAGTCTTTTTTCCTGTCATGTGAGTGGAATCTAAGCATAACACTTTTTCTACCATGGGATCCTAGTAACCTGGCTTCTTTTATTTCTGACTCTGGTACTGTAACTTTTGTTTGGTCCTTTATGATCTGCAGAGTAATTTCTTTACTGTTCGTTTGGTTCATATCACTGGGAAAAAGTGGACTGTTAACTATTACTGCGTCCGATAGTGTATCTTGTTCAGTTTTATCTTCTTGGAGGGCAAAGTAGTCACTGAACTGGTTATCTAAGTTGTTCTTCCATTCTTTTACTGCTTCTTCAACCTTTGTATTAAGAGATATTATTTGTTGGGTATGGCTATCTATGACTGTCTGGATGGTCTTGCCACAGTTTGTCATTCCTGGTGTTGATAACTTTTGTTCAAGACTGAGGATTTTGTTCTCGAGTTGTCATCCTGGTGTCTTGTTTTGTTAGCGTCTCTCGAAGATTCATATTTTCAATAACTAAGGTGGAGATGCATGTCTTTAGGGTATCTGGATCGTTGGTCATACCTGAGAGACTACTTGGTAGGTTGAATCCGGGGAAGAGAGGGGAGGATGGGCTGGTGGCAGCCAAGTTTGTTATTGTTGTGGTGTCGCCTTGAGTGGTGCTGAGAGGGGTGGTTGCTGGGCCGGCGTCCTCCTGGCTACACTTGTTGAATAGTTGATTTTTCGGTGTTTTCTTAGAGTATGTGGGTAATTAGCAGTGAGGTAGTCTTGTGGCTGAGTATTTGCTTTTGGGATTTTGCTTTGCTTTTGAGATTTTGTTTCTACTCTCACCGGGAATCGCACCCGACCCTCAGTTTGTGATGTGAGAGCTCTTGCCACCAGGCCACGGGCCACTGTAAGGGGAAATATATTCTGTTTCAAATACTTTAGCTATAAACATTTTCCAGGAATGTATCTTGCTCTTAAGTTGGTAAAAAAATTAAGTAGCATTTTGAATTTTCAGGGAAAAGGATGAAATGCCAGTGGACAGTGCTGGGCTGTACAGCTTTGCCACCGTCTCGTGGATCACCAAGTTGATGTGGAAAGCTTACAAGACAGGTCTCAAAGATGAAGATATTCCAATTTGCTCAAAATATGATATGTGTGACTACAATGTTGACAGGTAACACTTGGTCTATCTTTACTTTCTATTTACTGTCTGTTAAGTTATTTGGCAGTATAGTGGACCCTTGGTTTTCGTCCACTGTGGGAATCATATAATTTGGATTTTGAGCACTTTTTTGACGAAATTTTCCCCCAGATTTCGTGCATCCGCTCGGAAATCGTCCTTATCAGACGCGTCCACCCACCCGGGATGGCACTACTCACGTGTACCAGACTCGGTCTGCCTCTGTCTCTCATTGAGTTAGCAATACTCTGTGCATTCATCTGTTGTTTTTTATACTTGTTTATTGATTGTGACTGTATTCCCTCCTCACCTTTTTTACCAAAACCCAAAAGAGTCTTCAGTAAAGGTATGTAATGTTCATTTATCATTAAAATTAGTCATTTATATTTATTTTTCATTGTTTTCTCCATGTAAAACTATAGTTATTCTTTATAAAATGTGCTTTTTGTTAATATTTTTGGATGTCTGGAATGGATTAATTGGATTTACATTATTTCTTATGGGAAATATTACTTTGGTTTTCATCCATTTTGGATTTCAACTGACCTTCTGGAACGGATTAAGGACAAAAACTGGGGCATTACTGTACATCTTGAGTCTTGTAAGAGACAGAATAACAAACCAACAATATAGTAAGTGGCTTGCATACAAAGATAATGTTCTTAACCCGTAAATGGTCCAAACGTATATATACGTTTTTTCAACATTTGAAAGTATGTAAAAAAAAGTAGATCTTTTTGTTTTTTTACATTTGAAAATGTGTAAAAAAACTTTGATCTACTTTTTTTTTGTTATATTTGAAAATATGTAAAAAAAAATGTAGATCTACTTTTTTAGCACTATACGTGAATGTAGATCTGCTTGGACCGTTTATGGGTTAAAAAACCATACCACGGGTGGGGATAGAACCCGCGGTCAGAGAGTCTCAAAACTCCGGACCGTCACGTTAGCCACTGGACCAGCTAGCCACAATAAGATTCGCCCAACTAGGTATATTTTTACACCATAGGAAGGTTAGCATAGGCACCACTGTGACTACAAATGCAAGTTTTTACAGACGAATCTCCAGCTAGCGTGGCCATGACGAACTTTAGCTCAAGTCCCCTCAAAGGCGTTAACATGACTCATGAAATCGTAATGAACACGATTGCAAACAAACCATACCACTTGCATTTGTGGTCACAGTGGTGCCTATGCTAACCTTCCTATGGTGTAGAAATATACCTAGTTGGGCGAATCTTATTGTGGCTAGCTGGTCCAGTGGCTAACGCGACGGTCTGGAGTTTTGAGACTCAGATCGCGGGTTCTATTCCCGCCCGTGGTATGGCTTGTTTGCAATCGTGTCTTTACGATTTTGTGAGTCATAGTGTTCTTCGTACAAAGACAGTAAGTGTTCTTCATACAAAGACAGTAAGTGTTCTTCATACAAAGGTAGTGTTCTTCATACAAAGACAAACCGATAAACTATGGATTGAAGTGAAGACTGCCTCACAATCTCCAAGCACAACCCTGCTGCGAGACGACTACCTACTCCAAGCTCTTATCTATATTAGTTTCTTCATCTAACCACAGCAACTCCTGTACTACTATGAGACCAACTAATAGAAGAAACAGCACTAAGACCAGCAAGGCAGCACCTAGTAATTGACTATTCCATAAGGCAACCCAGCAGGACGCCGGTGTGCCATCCAACCCCCTTACAACCCAGAGCGACACATCAACAACAACAAACATGGCCGACTCACCCTCAACACCCAACCAAGGCGACGCTACAACAACAACACCAACCGTGACTGACTCCCTCTACTACCTTCATAGGATTTAACCCAGCTTATATGCTCCCAGGTATGCCTAATGATTCTGATACACTAAAGAACTACATCAACACCCTAATGGAGGATAACTTTAATTTTCGTGCTGAAAATACGTCTCTTCCTGCAACAATAACAAACCATGAATCTAAGTTACTTCACCTTGAGAACAAGATCAACAGCCTTGAACAACAGCTAACATCATCTGGCATGACTGATTTTTACAAGACCCTTCAATCAGTCATAGCCAGTCACACAGACCAAATAACTTTCCTAAACATGAAGATTGATGATGCCGTCAAGGACTGGAAAATAAACATGGATGCCCAATTGAACAATTATTTTGCTAAAAAAGATGATAAGGCAGAGCAAGATAAGTTATCTGATGCAGTAGTAATTAACACTCCACTCTTTCCCAGCGAATTAAACCATTCAAACTGCAAAGATACAACTCTAAAGATCATACTTGACCACCTACATGTTAATGTACCAGTGTCGGAAATAAAAAGAATTGCGGTTACTAGGGAACCAAAGTAGAAAAAGTGTTATGCTCAGATTTCACATACAAGACAGGAAAAAAGTTCTAATAATTTCATCTATCAAAGCAAAACAAGATATATACATAAATGAGTCTCACAAAAAAACAACAGAACCTCCTGTACAGAGTGAGAAAACTGAAACTTGAGAATAATGATAAAATTCACCAGTGCTTTGTACGTGATGGACAAATTCTAGTAAGAAAAACAAATGTAGGCCATGTGTACTATATTACAAATGAAAATGATCTAGCAAACTTCCTTCATGATGAAAACATTACAGAGTCTGACTGATATTAGTGACCAAATCCTTACTACGTTAGTGTATGTTATGTCATTATTGAACTAATCCCTGTACTATCACCTCCTAGATAGTATTTTACTACCTCAATATCCCAGGTATCCCACACAGTTCTTCTTTGTGTGACCCAATTTAACATATCTTCCCGGATTTCCAGTTCACAAATTATTATTTGCTAATAAGATACTTATTCTTTCATAATATCTGTATAACCATTTTCTTTCCTACTTAAGCACTGTTAAAATTCTCCTATAATCATACCTTTTTTTTCCCTTTTCTCCCAAACTACAGATAACAAACTACTACCTAGTATCAACTACCTCAAATAATATTCCTATAGTGATATTAATTGCTCAAACTTTATGCTACAAGGCAAATCCTACTCTTAGATTATTTTCATATCTTAGTGACTATATTGTGTGTGCAATTAGTGTATATTCCAATTACATTATTGTTCAAGTTCCAAAACTATCTATTGCTAGCTACTACCAACTACCTCATATTACTTTTACTTTTTATAGTACAATAAATTGCTCAACTTATTATATATTACAAATCAGATCTTACTCCCAAATCTTTATTATATCTTAGTGACTATCTGTCAATTTAACTTTGTTTACCATTACTTACTTTAGTCCCTTATATATTTTCTCCCTTATTTTGGCTTTATATAGCTACCTTAGTTCATATATTCACAATTGTTAAAATAATCAAGGTGCTATTCTCAGGTGCTAAAGTGTAATAAGATCACTATTTTGCCATTATATTCCCTAGCTCATTTATTTGATTACCACTCTATTTGTTCACCACAAATTATTTTAGTCCCTTTATATTGTCTCCTTTATTTTAGCTTTAAAGAACTACCTTAGCTCGTATTTTTACATTTGTTAAAATAATTCAGGTGCTATTTTATAGCTTATAGCTTTAGAATATTTACTTTGTCTTATACTTAATTCTAACTATAGATTCACTATAAATCTTATGATAACAAGCATTGATCCTGATACCACCTCTTATTGAATGACTTAAATGAATCAAACAGCAACTGTAATTACTACACAGCAGAACAAAGGCACTTCTCAGAGCCAACAACAACATAACTGTCTTTACAATATCAGATCATTAAGCAAACATTACGATGACCTCATAGCATTACTAAATTCCCTGCATGCCAGTATATCCATCATTACTCTCACCGAAACCTGGCTAAAGCCTGATACTACAGATGTCTATGCCATTCCTGGTTACACAGCCATACACAACTGTAGGCCAGACCAACAAGGGGGTGGCACAGCTATATACTACTCAGACCAGCTAAAATGTATCACCAATACTTGCACAAGGGATGAACATGGGGAATATATAATAGCTAAATTCAAATCCAAATACCTACAAAAACCTCTCACAGTGATAAACATCTACAGAGTAACCACTGTCTAACATTAGGCCGTTTTAGTGAAAACGTAGTTAATGTGATAACTGATGCACGCATGAACAAAGATCACTTACTACTCTCAGTGACTAATTATAAATCTCCTGCAAGACCAAGACCCACACGTTACTGAATCCACAAACACAATGAGTAACTGCATGTTGCTACCAACAGTAACAAACCTACAGAGTTACAGAGACGAGTGAATCCCTACTGTCCAACACATATCCCCTTAAGAGCAGGCAATAATCACAGATAATACCAAAAGAGCATTACGCCCCCCTTCCTCTAACAATCTTATGCAAATTACCCCAAGACACCTACTAAAGTCCACTTTCAGACTTCACAATGAGGCAGCCATTAATAACTTCACAGCAGCAGTGACAAACATAGACTGGCACACTTGAGCTAGAAATCTATACAGATATTGATGAATGTAATAATAAATTTTCTAAAAAAGACCCAATACCTCTATAACAAAGCACTAACCAAGAAAACTTAACAGAATGACAGCTAAGAGACTGAACAGTCTCCTGGCTAACACCAGTCATCCTCAAATCCATAAATACAAGTCACCTCTAACGAAAAACATACAGAATGGTCCCACATAACCAGAGACCAAACAAAACGTTACTCGTCGACCTAACCAGCCTGATAAGAAGGGCTAAAAAATTGAATTTATTTATTTATTTATTTATTTATTTAAAAATTTGAGCACACATACAGAGGTACAACAAATACAGGTAAGAGCAGTATGCCCAAAGCCACTGAAACTAATGCATAGCATTACGGGCTGCTTAAATTAACTAAGATTAACTAAGCAATTGTTGAAATCAGTGATAAGAACATTAATAGTAAACAGGTTACTATAAAGCACAAGTGAGTATTACAAAGACAGGTCATATGTTTGTAGG